TGAATCGATGAGCGGATCTCTCGAATGCCTCGCTCTCTGGCCCCAGCCTCCCGCCCTCCTCGCTCGTTTGTGGATGGTTCGCATCTATCTCTGTCAGCTTTGGCCCCTACAGCATGCCGCAGACCAAGTGGCTTCCAAACAGAAATGTACCTCTCACAGTTGTTTTATTTTCCCCCCAACATTTAAAGGAATTTCATAGTGACCTATTCAAATATTGCAATCATCTTGGTAGTGAACTTATTTAAATCAAACATCACTTAAGCTTTATAAAAAGCCAACATAATTGAAAATTGGACTCTTCCTCTAAAGCCTTAAGTATGCAAAGCCTGAAACAGTTGATTTAAAACTAGGCAAACAAATAAAACAACAAAAACCCCCTGCAGCAGATCCTGCTGAAATACTTTTTAAAAAATCTAAATGAGCTTAATCTTTACAAAAGTTATTTTAGCTCAAAAGCTATAAAATCAAAGTTATCTTAATTCTACAAAGAAGGGAGAGGGTCTTTGACTTCATGCCACCATTTCCTTAGAACCTTATCTTTTCCATCAAATTTGGCCACAAATCAAATTTCTGTGTGCCACTCTTTTCAAGAGATTCTTCTTGCAGAAGAGGCCAAGTACAAACATGGAAGGGTAACTGCCTAAGCAAGTAGGAAAGTGTTGTGTAATAGTGTGCAAAGAATGTAGAGTTCTGGGTTCATCTCTAGAACTCAATCTGGACCTTGATCTTGACTTTGAGCCTGATCTAGAATGGGATCTTGAAGTAGCTCTTTCGTGGAGGGGACACAGAATGAGCCTCTGTAGGGGTGAATTGGGACGAGACTGGCTCCTTGATCTGCATTTTGACTTTATTTCCCCTTTTCTGTTTTCTCTGGGGGATTGAGACCATGACCAAGACCTGCTTTAAGATTTCTTGTACTCCTTAGATCTGCTTCAGGAATGAGACCGGAGTCCTGATCAGACTTGGGCTTAGACTTACTCTTTGACCTACATTTCCTGCCTTTCGATCAAGAATGTGATTGAGGGGAGGGGGGGAAATGGGCATTTATTGAAACCTTATAATCTGTACCCCCATAATATGCCAAAATAAAAAAAAAATTAAAAAAAAAAAAAAAGAATGTGATTGACCTTTGCTCCATGACCTGGATCAGGAGCGACTTTTCAGGATACTCCCAGATCTACTGTGGCTGCTCCTGTGACTGCTACTTCGTGACCTTCTTCGAGATCGAGACCTAGGTCTGCTTCCAGAATAAGCCCACCTATGGCTCGTGCGTGGCTATTTTCTCCCAGTTCTGGAGGCTGGAGCCCAAGATGAGGTGCCAGCATGGGCAGGTTCTGAGGAGGCCCCTTCCTGGCTTGCCAGGAGAAGATACTACCTTCTTTCTGGGCCCTCACATGGCCTTCCCTTGCTGCGTGCACGTGGAGGGAGAAAGAGAAATTCCTCTCTCAACTGCTGTATTTCTTTTTTTTTTTTTTAGAGGGGGGTCTCACTATGTTGCCCAGGCTGAACTAAAACTCCCAGCCTCAAGGGCTCCTCCCACCTCAGCCTCCCGAGTAGCTGGGACCACAGGCACAGGCCACCACAACCAGCATTCTTCTTATGGGGCCACCCTCATGACCTAATTTAAATCTAATTACCACCCAATGGCCCCATCTCCAAATGCCATCCCACTGGGGATCAGGGCTCTTATATGTGAATGGGGGAGACACAAACATTCTTTCCATAGCACCATCCGTAAGCCTCGTTGGGCCCTTCGGTCTATTGGCCCTTTTCCTTTCTCCCCACCTCTCACTGTCCTCTCTACCCAGATTAGAGGGTGTAGACCATCATTTTCATTTCTGTTGAGAGACAGAGATCATTTCTGTCTCTGTTGCCAGCACCCTACACTTTAATCCTTTTATCATTCAGTTGTACCCAACTAGCAAAACCACAGCAGCAAATGAGCCCAATTATCTGCCCTCTCTTTCCCTGCACCCCAGACTGCCGGTCATTGCTATACAGAGTCACTCCCCAGAACTCCTCAATGAGTTCAAGGTCAGCAGCCTCGACTGGATCTTTAGCAGGGCCCAGAATTCCTACCAGCCTTTTCTAGGCAGCTTGTTCTCCACCTCTCAGCAGTGGCTATTTCTAACCTCCGCTCTGTGTACCTCCCTCCTCCTACCTCCTGTTTCCAGAGATGGCAGAAGCCATCACACGGTAGCTCCCAAACTTCCTTCCCCTGAATCTTTAGCCTCCCCCTTCACCTTCCCTTCTGCTGCAGTGAAAGAACTGTCTTGCACAGAGATGGGGGTGAAGCCGCTGCGGGCAAGGCCCTTACCCCTGCTCCCACCTCTGCCCCCCAAGACCTGGGAGCTGCTGAAGGTGGGGCGTCCCTCTCCCCTGCCTCTCTTCTCCATTCCCTCCACCGCAAGCATGTCAGTGGGGAGCCTCTCAACTGAATTTGCTTCTGCCTGCAAGTTCTTTGGAGATGAGAGACGCTAGGTCCTTCTGGGGTTTCACCTGCTCCCAGAGGTCTCCAGATGAGCCAAGGGTTGGTGTCAGGCACAGATGGTCCACTTGGGTGACAGTTGTCCATATCGGAACAAGGAAGAGCCCAGCTTCCCAGGTGCCCAGCACCTGCCCAGGGTTCCCTGGGGTGGCCCTTGCCCCTGCAGGGTGGAGCTGGTGGCCTCACTGGCCCCTGGCTGCCTCCCTCCTTGCCTTTGCTCCCCAGAGACTAGGGAATGGGGAGCACTCAACCCAGGTGTGAGAAAGGACCCTGATATTTACTAGTTTTCTTAATCTGTAATCAAGGGAAACAAAAATGATCTTGTGATTTTTTAACTGAAATAATCAACATTCGTAGCTGGTATGAACATTAATTCTGTAAACCTATATCTGTAAGAAACACCATGTTTCTTTAAAACATGAGCCTCCCTCTCGCTGAGCTGATTGGAGATTCGAGCTCAGCTGTTGTTGGACCTCTCCTCTGCCCGGAGATCACGCCAGTGTTGTGGGGTTTCATGTAACCAAAGCAAAGGGGTGCTCCCAGCCTAGTCGTCGGCCTCACTCATGAGCGCTGGGTGCTCGCTGTGCCACCTGCTTGGTCCTGTCAGCCCCAGCAGTGCTACTGCTTAAGACTGGGGACCACAGGCTGGGCGCGGTGGCTCACGCCTGTAATCCTAGCACTCTGGGAGGCTGAGGTGGGTGGATTGCTCAAGGTCAGGAGTTCAAAACCAGCCTGAGGAAGAGTGAGACCCCTGTCTCTACTATAAATAGAAAGAAATTAAATTGGCCAACTAAAAATATATATAGAAAAAATTAGCCGGGAATGGTGGCGCATGCCTGTAGTCCCAGCTACTCGGGAGGCTGAGGCAGGAGGATTGCTTGAGCCCAGGAGTTTGAGGTTGCTGTGAGCTAGGCTGATGCCACAGCACTCTAGCCTGGGTGACAGAGCGAGACTCTGTCTCAAAAAAAAAAGACTGGGGACCTCTAGGGAGACTGAGGGGCCCAGGACTAGCCCCTGAGGTGACCCACAGACCCCAGAGGGTGCCTAGTGAAACATGCAGGATTTGATACCCCAAATACCAAAAGGACTGGGGGCCCTGCCCCCACATACGTGACTACAGAAGCCACATTCAACTGCACAATAGCCCTAAGCAGATTTCCCCATGATTAATTCCTTGATAGCTTTTTGCGAATATAGTAGGTTCATTCAAACTTTTTTCTCAGTGTTTTAGTGCCTGTGTTTTCTGTTGCTTATAACAGAACACCTGAAACTGAGTGTTTTATAAAGAAAAGGGATTTGGCAGGATGTGGTGGCTCACACTATAATCCCAGCACTTTCGGAGGCCAAAGTGGGAGGATGACTTGAGGCGAGGAGTTTGAGACCAACACAGGCAACATTGTGAGACCCCCATTTCTACAAAAAAAAAAATAGAAAAATCAGCCAGGTGTGGTGGTGGATGCCTGCAGGCCCAGCTACTGAGGAGGCTGAGGTGGGAGGATTGCCTGAGCAAGAGTTGGAGGTTGCAATGAGCTTATGATCACACCACTGCACTCTAGCTTGGGTGACTGTGCGAAACTCTGTTTTTAATTAATAAATAAAAATTTTTAAAATTAAATACAAGAAAGAAAGGAAATTCTTTTTTTTTTTTTTTTTTTAAATCACTAGATGATGCGGGAGAAAAGGAATTCAATTCTTATATTTCTCGAGGTTGGGAAGTCCAAGCTTGAGGTGCTACATCTGGCTGGGGCCTTCCTGCTGGCGGGGACTCTGCAGAGCACCGCGTGGCAAGGGGACTCAGCGTGCTAGCTCACTTGCGTCTCTCTTGTGCTTCTTATAAAGCCACCAATCCCACTACCGTGAAACCCATCCATCCATGAACCCATTAACCCACTCATGGAGGTGAGGCCCTCGGGACCCAATCGATGGCCCAGTCACCTCCCCAAGGGCCCCACCTCTCGACACCATCACGCTGAGGCTTATGGTTCAGTGACTTTGGAGGGGACAAATATCCAGACCACAGCATGGCCCCAGTTTCGCCGACGTCCTGAGAGCGCATGCTGAGTCTGTTGACTGGGTGATCAGGCAGGCCTGGGCCCCAGCCTCCCTTGCTGCTCTTCCTTTTTCTCTCTAGAGCGTCTCTGGGTGACATCCTGGGCAGGGGCGAGGGTGGGGGACTGTCGCAGAGACAGAGCAGAGGTGTGCGGGGCCTGGACAGCCTCCTCCAGCCGTGGGTCAGGGCGGCTAGCAGGAGAGCCGACCACTGAGTGACGCCTGGAAGGGTGGGAGCGAGTCCCTGAGGGGACAGTGGGCACTCCAGGTGCAGCAAACAGTCTGCACGGAGGCACGGGGCTGGCTCATGTGGCGGGTTCCCCTGCCTGCCTAGCCCAGTGTGTCCTTGGGGGCTGTGGCCGGTTGTGCCCCTGAGTAGAATGCTGCCCCCACCAATCCTAGCCGGCCCCAAGCACCTCCCTGCCCCATTGTGACTCCAGTGGAACCCAAGGGTTCCGCTTCCAAGGGTCCTGCTCGGCCTGGAGTGTGGTCCTATCTCCAGGGAGGAGGGACGCGGAGGCTGTGGAGGGTGACAATTAGGTGACGCCTGGCAACTGTGGGGCCACACGCCCAGCACACAGATGTGAACAGGAGCCTGCCTGGGCCCGTTTGCCTGTGGGGAATCCGCGGAAGGAGCAGGCTGCCCTCCCAGGAAGCGTGAGTTCTCAGGTGGGGCATCTGGCCGTTCCCTGCCCTCAGGTGGAGTGCCGCTCCTGGCTGTACCTGTCCAGGCCTCAGTTTCCCCTTTTGCTCGCTGAGAACCAACTGACTCACCTGTCCACCTGGCAGGGGCCCTGCAGGGTCAGTAGAGGCAGTGAGTGCTCTGGGTCCTTGCAGACGGCTAGACCACTGTGGGTGCTCAGGTGAGGGGTAGGGAGGACATGGGAGGGGGCCCTGCTGGGGGAGGAGCGGCTGGTATGGAAGCCAGACCTCTGTGAGCAGAGCAAAGGTTTTCTCCCTCCCTCCCTGGGAGCTGCCTCTCCCCGCCGCCATGCCCTGCAACCCTGCACACGTCCACCCTGGCAGTCCCCTCCGGCCGCTCTAACAAATCACCACACTTAGTGGCTTAAAGCAACACGAATTTATGCCCTCATACGGCTCTGGCGATGGCAAGTGCAAAACGGGTCTCGCCCGTCTGGAGGCTCCGTGGGAGAATCATTTCCCCGCCTTCCTCAGCTTCCAGGGGCTGCTGCCTCCTCGGCTCCAGGACCCCTGGTGTCTTCGAAGCCCGCCGTGGCGGCTCAAATCCTTCTCGCGCTGGATTTCTCTGGTTCCCACTCCCCTGCCCCCACCCCCACCCATAAGGATTCCGTGGCCCCACCAGGGAATCCAAGACGGTCTCTTTCTTTGCTTGAAAATCAGCTGATTAGTAACCTCAATTTCATCTGCAACTTTAATCCCTTGGCTTGTAAGGCAACAAATTCACAGGTTCTGGGGATTGGGACATGGATTTCTCTGGGGGGACCATTACTCAGCCTCGCCCCCCACACCCGACACACACACACACACACCCCTAAGAGGGCTCTTCCTGTCGTGTCCCCTGCCTCCCGTGCACCTCCTATGTGTGCCGAGGACGGGGATCCTGAACTCTGGGCCAGGCAGCAGCAGAACGACAAGGGCAGTGGTGCCGCCCTGCCGGGCCGCCTGCTGGAGCAAACCAGAAGTCCCAGGACCTGGCGAAGCAGAGCAGGACTTCAGTGTAGAGAAGGGGCCCTGCCCTACTTTGCCAGCTCTAGCCCTGTGGGAATGCTGGCCCCAGTGGTCTAACTTCAGAAAGGAAATGCCGAATTTATGTGAAATCTCCCGTGGGCAGCTGGTTCCCATGTACCCAACATACAGGGAGGCGCCACATGGGCTAGCCAAGGGAATTGTGTCTGCAGGTTGGATTTGTCGCCTGGGCAATGAGTCGAACACCTGTCACCTGGATTAAGGGACAGCAGAGTCGCAGTATGAGAAGGAGGCAGCCCTCAAGTGTGACTGATAGGAATCTGGGGTCCCAAGAGGGAAGGGCTGTGCTCAGGGACGCAGTTTGTCCCTGGTCCAGGTGACCAGACCTGCCCCTTCTCCCCAAGCAGACAGTGAGTTGCTCTCCATCTCCACCCAGCCTGTCCCCGAGTGGAGTGCAGGGCTCGTGGGGACTTCTGAAAGAGGTCCTAACCTTAGCTGGGGTGGGCAGGGCAGCTTGGTGGCATGCCCAGGTGAGGGGCGCCATGAGGGCTGGTGGCCAGGCTGGGGAGTGGATGCAGTGGACACAACTCAGCCTCCCCAGAGCCCCCCACCCCCCAGCCCATCACTGCTACCCTCAGCCAGGCGAGGGCCCCTCCTCTGACAACTTCTCTGGAGAAACGTTCCTGGAACGCTGGGAACCTTCAGGGAGCTTGGCAGAGCTGAGAGCTTGAAAGGACATCCCAGTTTATCATTCAAAATATATCATCTTGGTGTGTCTTCTTTAGTGGACAAGTTCCCATCAGACGAGGGGCCAAGGCGTAGGAAAGGTGACAATGTGTGGAAGTGTGTCCCCTCAGAGGTCACCTGACTTGACAAGGGGAGGGCTCAGCCTCCAGCAGAATAATAATAATAAAACAAATCGCAACAGAGACGAGGTGTCCCATCATACCTACAAAATGACCCCAAATCAATACAAAGTGTAGAGCCCAGTGCCGGTGGCCCTGTAAGGAAATACACGCCTCCTGGGCTGTGGCAGACTCTGAACTGCTTTGCTCTTTCTGGAGGACAATTTGAACATTTGCTACGAGAGCCGTAGAATGATCCCGGTCCTGGGGCGCCAGGTGCAAAGAGAGCCTTCCGCAGGGGGATGTGCACAGAGGAGTTGTCTGGGATAGCCAGTTCGCGGCCGCGAAGCTACCAGAGCCTCAAGGAAAATCCTGCGGCCATTGACGTGATCAGTGTGCAGATGAGTGTGGGCAAGAAAACACTGGGAGCAAGCAGCAGCGGGCAGAGGCTGGGTTAGCAGGCTGTACCCTGCGGTCACAGTGGGTGACTGCTGCGTTTATCCGTCCCCATCAGAGGAGAAGAGGCCCTGCGGGAAGAATGAGTGTTGTGTTTCAGGAGAGGGTCCTTGGGCAAAATATTTTCCTAAAATAAAAACAGACACCTGTGCGCCCATCACCCGACCAAAGACCCAGAGCTTTACTAACGACTTAAATTTACCTCTTCCCCGACATTGTCCCTCTGCCTCCCCACACAGATGATTTCCTGAATTTCATCCTTGCGTTAAAAAAAAATGTGTACTTTTATTGCACAACTTACCTAAACAATATCTTATCTAGTCTTGCTTCTTTTATACGTTCTGTTTTTTATTTTTAAAAAATGTCTAATTATTATGGTTGCATAGTAGTTGTGTATGTTTATAGGGTCCATGTGATATTTTCATACAGGCACACAATGTGGATTAATCAAATCAGGGTAATTGGGGTATGCATCACCTCAGGCATTTGACGCTTTTCGGTGTTAGAAACATTCCATTTCCACTCTTTTAGTTATTTTAACGTATACCCTAACTTATTGTTGATTATAGTCAGTTTGTTGTGGTAGCAAATATTTTTCATTCTATCTAAATAGCTAACTATGTTTTTGCACCCACTAACCATCACCCTTTTATCCCCGATCCCTGCTACCCTTCCTAGCCTCTGGTAACGGTCAATGGCAACAGCGATATTGCTGGGCCATCTAGTAGTTACAGTTTAAGTTTTTTGAGGAATGTCCACGCTGCTCTCCATAGTGGTTGCACTAATTCACATTCCCAACACCAGTGTACAAGGGTTCCCATTTCTCCACATTCTCAGCAGCATTTGGTACTGCCTATCTTTTTGATAGAAGCCATTTTAACTGGGTTAAGATGATATCTGGTGGTTTCGATTTGCATTTTTCTGATGACTAATGATGTTGACCCTTTTGTCATATACCTATTCATCTAGTCATCTGTCATTCGTGGATATTTTAGCTATTTTCACCATTTGGCTACTGTGAACAATGCTGCTATGAACCTGGGTGTACAAATCTCATTTTGAGCTATTGCTTTCAATTCCTTTGTGTATATACCCAGAAGTAGATTGTTGGACCAAGTAGTAATTCTGTTTTTAATTTTGGAAGAAACACCATACTGTTGTCCATAGTAGCTGCACAGTTTTGCACAATTTTACATTCCTATTTTACATTTTACATTCCAATTTTACACTTGTGCACAAGTGTGCCAATTTCTCCACATCCTTGCCTATACTTGTTTTCTGTTCTTGTTTCTTTTGTTTTGTTTTGTTTTGTTTTGTTTTTGAGACAGATTCTTACTCTGTTGCCCAGGCTACAGTGCCATGGCTACATGAGACCAAAAAGTGTCAAATGCCTGAGGTGATGGATACCCCAATTACTTGATTTGATTAATCCACATTGTGGCCTGCATGGAAATATCACATGGACCCTATAAACATACACAACTAGTATGCAACCATAATAATTAAAAAACATTTTAAAAATAAAAAAACAAAGAGAGCGTAAAAAAAGAAGCAAGACTAGATAAGATATTGTTTAGGTAAGTCATGCAATAAAAGTACATGTAGCCTGGTTAAAGTGCTTGCTATCAGCCATGTTTCTTCACCACACTTATCATTTTCCCTTGGTGGATGATAAGTATCTTATGGAAAGATACTTTGAGACTATGCAAATATGTGTTTCTTATCATATTTTCATCCTCTAATTTAATATCCATCAATGATTTTTTTGTCTGCAACAATAACTGTGGTTATCTGTCAAATGATGATTTTGTATTTCTATCATTCTTTCTACATTTATTAATGTAGAACCCTACAATAATGCAAATTAGCCTAGCTCACGGCAACCTCAAACTCCTGGGCTCAAGCAATCGTCCTGCCTCAGCTTTCCGAGTCGTTGGGACTACAAGCATGCGCCGCCATGCCTGGCTAATTTTTTAAATATATTTTTAGTTGGCCAATTAATTTCTTTCTATTTTTATTAGAGATGGGGTCTTGCTCTTGCTCAGGCTGGTTTCGAACTCCTGACCTCGAGCATTCCGCCCGACTCGGCCTCCCAGAGTGCTAGGATTATAGGCGTGAGCCACCGCGCCCGGCCTGTTCTTGTTTCTTTGAATATTAATAATAACCATCCTAAAGGGTATCCCGTACATATTTTGTTAGATTACTTCAAATTTATATTTCGATATTATAAATGATATCTTTTTAAAATTTCCCTATTTTTAAAGACCTTTTCAGTTTGAAATATTTGAGAGTTATTTAAAAAGTTGTAGGAGAAGTACACAGAATAAATTGAACCTACATCTAGCTTCCCCTAATGGTAGCATCCTACTTATCTAAGCCAGGTAATTGGCATTGACACAATACTACTAAGTAATCTGCAGAGCATGCTTGAACTTGGCCAATCATCCCACTAACGTTCTTTTCCCGGCTGAGACCCGATCCAGGACCCTACACAGTATGTAGTTGTCATGTCCTCTCAGTCTCCTCCTGTCTGGGAGGGTGCCTCAGCCTTCGTGCTTTGACACTTTGGAAAAGTACCAGCCAGTTACTTTGTAGAAAGCTCCTAAATTTGTTTGCTCTTTTCTCGTGATTGCGTTAATATTAAGGTTATGGGTTTTTGGCAAGAATAGCTCAGAAGGGCGGTTCTGCCCTTCTAGTGCA